ACGAGCTTGTTCTAATGCAGATGGCACTCCCTGCCCCTGCCCTCAGCCCCCTTTCTAGAAGTGTCCCTTTCACCCGCTGCTGCTGTTATTCCTGTGCGTGTGCGTGTTTCCTGATCCCTCAGTGGTGACATTATCTGCTGTCCTCCTACTAAGGAAGACGGGGCTCGGCTCTGTTCACCCCTGTGCTCCCTGCCGCTCGTCGTCCGCATTATACAGTAGGCTGTGCTGATGTTGTTCCCTGCAGGCCAAGAAGTAAACTTTAGTTTCACGTCCTCAACATACCCATTGTGTCCCTCGAGTTAACAAATCCCTCGCTTTTTCCTTTTCCTTAATTTCCATCCCAGTTGTCCCTTCCTCTACACATCACCCTCTGATGCCCCTCTGTCCCACCCTCCAGGCCGTCAGCCACTGAGGGGCCTGCATGGCCGCCTACTGCATGGCTCTTGTCCAGGAGTGCTCCTCCGTGGCCGGTCAGTCCCTTTCGTCTCTTGCTACATCCCTGCTTACCGTTCCTCAGTAGTGGGAAATGCTTCTAGTGGCTTCCTGGGTTCACAGAGGTGACTCCACAAGCTTGCGAGGCCAGGGCATCCAGGTTCTGCCCTCTTGCACTCAGTGGGCACTTTGGATGCAGGAACTCTTTTTCCTTCAGAATTCTAGCATCTTCTGGCTTCCAGTGCCGTCACTGAGAAGTCCATGGTCATTTTCACCCCAGGCCTTCATTTCTGACCTTTTGTTTTTTCTCTTGGAAATCTTTAAGGTCTCTTCTTTATCCCTCCATCATGCCATGTGCACCTAGAGGGTCTCCTCGGTCTGGAAACACATGCCCTTCATTTTGGGGGGATTGTGCTCTGTTCTTTCTTTGATAAGCTTTTGTTTTTTCTTTCTGGAAAACTTATTAGTCAGATGTTGAGCATTCTGGATCAATCCTTCTATTTTCTTCTCTTTTTTTTCCTTCCTGACTATCTCTGTTCCCCCCTTCTACTTTCTCAAAGATGCTCTTGACATCGTTTTCCAACCTCGTAGTGAACTTTTTATTTTGCCTATCGTATTTTGATGTTCATTGGTGTTTTTCTGCTCTTTTCGTGCATCCATTTCTTGGATACCATGTGCGTTAGACTGAATCATGTGATGTTCCTGATCATGAGCTGGTTTTCAGCTATGAAAATAGGAGTTTCATATGGTTTAACTTGTTTCCTGGGAATTTCTTCTGTCTGATTTATTTCTTCCAGGTCCCTCTCCACCCAGTTTGCTTGCTTTCACGATGGGGCGACCCTCAGACACAGTGTGAATCTCGGCCTTCCCTTCCTATCTTCACATTCAAAAACAAGCCACTAAACACTTATTTGAAGTCCTTTCTGTACTGGTGGATATCACAGTAGTGGGATCCAACAGGAATGTGGGGGTGGCGACACCCCCAGAGCCCGTGAGGGCTGGGTCAAGCCATCAGCACTCTCTTCCTTGTAGGGATTGGGGCAGGCTACTGGGTGGAAGCTGATGTCTTTCTCCGGATCCCCTGTTCTTAGTTGGTGCCTCACCTAGCCCTGAACTGGGCTTGGTGTCCTCAGAGGTTAAAGTCTCCAAAGGTTAAGTGGCTGCTCTCCTGTGAGGGGGGGGGAGGGCTTGCTGGATCCGGGAGGGTGAAGAAGGGGACTGGGCTCAGGGGAGGAGGGAAGGAAAGGCATCTGACAGTACCTCACAAAAGCCTTGGCCGGTGCCCCCTTTTCCTCCTGCTGCCCCATTCCCCTGTACTTGGCTAGGCCTGGCTCTGAGTGAGGTGTCCCTGTGCCTTAGAGAAGTGGACACCATGCCCATGACAGTTGTTGTGCCCTTTTAAGCCCATCTACCAGAATATGCACTTTCTCTCATCAGCCCTTTGTGGATTTATAACTTTTAAAATTCAATTGTGGTCCATTTCATGGGTTCGGGAGGTGTTGAGCTAAACACACATGAGCAGTGCCCCAGGTGTACCTGCACATCCTTCTGAGACATGAACTAAAATTGCTTCTCAGATTGAAAACAGTAAGTGCGCTCTGTAAACACTTGAAACAAAATCAGTGTGTCTAAAGTACAATCAGTAATAGTCTAAAGACTATTAAGCCACCTCTGAGATTCAATCTCAGTTAATAACTTGGTGGAAATTCTTAATGCTTCTCACCAAACTTCTACCAAAACAAGCCATCCTACACGTGTCAGAACTTATTCCAGTCTTTACTAGGAACACACACCAAACTGCTGCAACGAATATTCTTATGCAGATATCTGTGGGCATTTGGGGGAATACTTGCTTTCTTTTGTTTTTATAGTTTTTAAAAATTTTGGCATAATTTTAGACATACAGAAAAGTTGCAACAATAGTACAAAGCATTCACAGACATGTTAGCACGTGTGCTTGGCCATGCACCTCTCCCGTGTATTTATGCACACACACATTCACATTTGTGCTCACTTATACGTACACACATGCACATTTGTTCTGAGCCACTTAAGAGTAAAATGCGGACATGCTATTCCTTACTTATAACTATTCAATATGTACTTCCTAAATCAGGGAGTCTCCTGATACAACTGCAGTGATCAGGAATCAGGAAGTTAACATTGATCAAATATTGTATCTACAAATCTTATTCAGATTTTACCGAGTAATTGTTTTTAGTAGCATAAGAATATCTAAGGTTGTGCATTAGATTCAGATTTCTTTACAATAAAATTTTTAAAAAATAATGGGAGTGTTGGATCAAAAGAATGAACATTTCAAATGTCAATATATATCTCTAGAATTGGTTCTAGTAAAGACTGTGCTAAATATACCCTCCCCAGTACTGAGTATTATTGAGCTTTTCACCCCTTACCAATCTGGTAGGCAAGAGTGAGGTTTTATTGTTCTGTTTGCTGTCTGTGCCTGTGAGTAGTGCTGAGCGTCAGTCTGCATATTTACTGGACTTGAGGGCTTTAGTTCTACTCCAGAGTGCTCCTTATGCAACACCACGTGCATCCACTTGCCTTGTTTCAGGAGCCGCGCTGGGCCCCCTGCTGGCTGGGCTCATCTCCCCCTCTGGATGGAGCAATGTCTTTTACATGCTGATGTTTGCAGATGCCTGTGCCTTATTGGTAAGTCATCTTATTTTTAACCCATTTTCAATTTAATGAGCATCTCTGTGGTTGTTGACCAAACACTGGTGAAACCTTTTCCTGTGGACTCATGCAGTTCTCAGGGAGGTTTGGTTCCTTCTGTCTTCTCTAAATAAGCATGATCCGAGGCCCTTTCTCCCTCTGGTTAAAAAAAAAAAAACAAGTGTCAGACACAGAAGCAGGGCATCTGCTGCTGTCTAGTTTCAGGCGGGGTGGTCTAACGGCCAAGAGCATGGAGCTCTGTGGCTGTGGATCATGCCCCTGTCAGCTGTCGTGACTGGGACAGGGCACTCAGCCTTTCTGTGCTGCAGCTTCCACATTTTTTAAATGGGCCTAATAATGGCACCTAACGACCAGACTCTTGTGAGAATTAAGAGATAGCACAGCCCAGACCAGAGTCAACAGGGTCTGGTCTCCCACACGGTGGCCTTTAGTGTGCTGGGGCTTCTGCTGCCAGAAGGTTTCTGAGGCTTTCTTCAGGATAGGGAAGACCGTGATGGTGTCACAGTCCCACCAGTGTACATCTGCGAGGGTGGCTATTATATGCTTATCTTTATAATTCATCTTGTGCATAAAGTCCCCACACCTAAAGCCATCTTTCCTGATACTTGGCTGATCCCAATAAAAATGAGCCAGGAATTTTAAAAATATCACCTCCATTAATTAAAAGAAAGCCTTATATTTTAATTTCAGGGAGCCCTAAATCACAGCTCCCCCATTGCATACAGAATCAAATACCAACTCCTAACTTACGAACTTACTAGGTTGAAGTGGCTGTTTCCCAGACCATTTGTGGTTGTTGTTTTTTTAATGCCTGGGGGTTCTAGTTAAGTCTCCACATATTTTCCACTAAGTAGCAGTAAAATTCCCATCATTATGACTGTTTAAAGGCATACCAGAATACCAGTTAATATATATTGAACATTGTTTTAGATGCATAGCTGAACTCACAACAAAGTAAGGGAAATACCCAGGAGCCAAAAATGTAGAGGCAACATAAAACAAATACTCAAGCTGACGATAGAGCAGTCCTGGAGTGAGTTGCCAGTCTCAGGAATCAAGGGACTGGGGTGGTTATGCCCACGTGAAACAAGAGATGAGGTGTTAGGCTGGCACAAGATGGGGTGGTGGAACTGGTGACTGCCTCATAAAGCCAGGACCCACAAGGGCTGTGCTTGCAGTGAAAGAGTGTCCTAGGTGACATCTGCACAGTGGCACAGAAAGACAAAAAGAATCTGTGACCATCTTAGCCTGGTCACCAGGTAGGCATAAAAAAATCTCCCATGAGAACTTTTAGCCACAGACCTGCCCATAGTAAGCTTTAATCTTTGAGCTTATATAGCTGGCCCTTGAACAACACAAGTTTGAACTGTGCAGGTCCACTCATATGCTGGTGCAACATCTGAGGATTTAACCCACCATGGATCAAAAATACAGTATTTGTGTGATGCAGAACCCATGTATATATGGAGGGCTGACTTTCCATAAATACGGATTCTGCATGGTCAGCTGTGGAACTTGATTTTGGCATATCTGGTGGTCCTGGAACTAACCCCTCACGTACACGGAGGGCCAACTGTGTAAGTACAAAAAAAATGAATGAAATTGGTCCTTAGAAGCTGATGTACCTGATTCTTAGGCAGAACAAATATAAAAATTGAAAAAGGACAAATCTCAGCCCAGCTGCACAGGATTCCTACAGCTAACACCCTACTGAAAATAAGCTCATTAAAATTATGAAACACAAGGAAGCAATTCACTGTGAATGACAGTAACAGATGCCACAAACATCAGAATTGGACCCTGCAAACCCGCAGATGAAAGATTTATCAAAAAACTGTAAAAATAAATATATTTAACATCACTAAAGATGTAAAATAAGGAAATGAACTCATGAAAAAAAGAATAAGACACTATCAAAAAGAGCAGGTTTGAAGAACAACAAAACAGAAGTTCTACAAATAAAAAATGTGGTCTTTAGCCCAGAAAAAATCTCAATGTGTGGGTTGAAAAAGCAATTAGATACAGCTGAAGAGAAGATTACTGAAGTAGAATATAGTTAGGAGGAAATTATTTAGTATTCAGCACATAAAAAGAAAGAGATGAAAAATATTAAAGAGTTTTTGAGGGGTGGTGACCAAGTCTGTGGATGCTACCCCAGGAGAGGGAGCTGTCATATCCCTTCCTCTCTTCCACTTCCCACTATAACCAATAAAGGCTGTCTATATGGTAAAAAAAAGAAAGAAAGAAAGAAAAATATTAAAGAGAAATTAGATATAAAATGGAGAAGCAAATGAGATGTTCAAATGTTGTCTAATAGGAATTCCAGAGAAGAGAATAGAGAGACTGGGATTAGAATGATAGTTGAAGAGAAAATAGCTGAGACTTTTTCAGATACATGGAAGGCACACATTCTTAGATTAAGGAATCAAACAGCTTAGAATTCTATACCTAGCTAAACTTGCATGCAAGACTGAGAGTGAAGTGACCACATTTTTACCACAGATGCTCCCAGTGAAAGTTGCTAGAGGATGTGTTTAAAGAAGCAGTAAATTAGATCCAGAAGAAAAGTCTGAGATGCAAGGAGAAATGTGAGCAAAAAAAGTGATATTCCTAAGAGTAAATCTAAATTAGTGTTGACTATATAGAACAGTTGTCAATGAACTATGGCCTGTGTGCCAAATCTGGCCCTTTGTCTGTTTTGTATGGTCCTTGGGCTAAGAATGGTTTACATTTTTAATGAATTGTTTTTAAAAAGTCAACAAAGAGGAATATGCAGTAGAAACCATATGGCTGCAAATCTGAAATAATCTGGACCTTTACAGAAAAAGCTTTCTGACTCTTGGTTTAAAACAACAACAATAATAATGACTAATTTGGGCAATATAAAAAAAGAACTAAACTATAAGACAATCAAAATGTAAGGCACAAGTGAGGGAATCAGTTAAAGCATTCTATAGTCCTATTATCATCAGGTCAATAGAAATAGAATGTTTAACGTTGAAAGCAGTCTGGGAAAATAAAGGAGACATGATCGATCCAGGAGAACCCGGAGCAGGGGTGTGCAGGAGAGCATGAGCTGCAGCATGGAGCGGACAGGAAGGCACCAGTGGAAGTGGCAGCAGCGAACTAGCAGCCGTGGCTGTAGGGGGACTGCACTCACCTCTGCCAGCACTGCTTTCAGCACCTGCCACGTTCCCTCGTCCTTCACCACCTGACTGCGACAAACACTGCTTGTAGGCCAGGCAAAGCTGCTGGATCCTATTTTATCTGCAGGAGTAATGCCTACTCTCTTCAGCTTAAACTCATATTGAACAAGGGACGTCTAAGCTCCTCCCTGAACCAGAAGGATCTAGGAAAATAAAAAGAGTTTCTGCCTTCTAGAGCTCTCACTTATGGCTTAGTAGTGTAGCATTGTGTGACTGTGTGTGTGTGTGTTTAAGCAGCTCCTCAGGACTCTCCTCCAGCAGCCCAAGTGCCTTGAATCTCCCGTCTCTCTTGGCCAAGTGGTCCATCCTGGCTCTGAGGGCCACCAGAAGCCAGGACTTCCCTTGGAAACCCATTTCAAAACTCCAGGGCACCACATGGCCCTTGGGGAGCCCTTCTGTGGGCTGGTGTCATGCTTGGGGAAAGGCTGCATTTGCAAATGCAAAGAAAACTAGCTAAATTGGGGGTGACACTTGATCATTAGTCTGGATTTTTATATCATGTAAAGGACATGAAATTAAACCACTGGGTCAGGAAGAGAGCCGGGATGAACGCAGAGTTGTTCTCAGAGTTTTTCTGTGATTTGGACATCTATGATTGGACTAACTTTAACATGACGTGACCCCAGAAGTCATTCTGGCTGAAATCTGTCGTACAAGCCTTGTCTTCAGGAGCACATCCAAGTTATTTGTAGGACTTAGAGGCAGCCAGCCCTCCACCTGGGGACTGAGCCCTCAGGCCAGGTGTGCTGGTGTGGCTCCTCTGCTCTTGCAAGAAAAGCATTTCATGGGGACACCCTGGTGGATGCTGTGGGGAGGGAGCCCCCAGCCTGGTGGTCCTCAGTGGGTACAGGGCTTCACAGTGACCACAGGGCACACCTGCCATATGTTCGGTTTCCACCGGCAGTCATGGGCCGTCTTTTCTTTTGGGTGCAGTTCCTGATCCGCCTCATACACAAGGAGCTGAGCTGCCCGGGGACGGCAACCAGCAACCAAGTTCTGTAAGTCCACGGTCGGGGCCATCTCTCCCCACGCTCGCAGCGCAGCTCCCCTGCGTCCTTCGGCTTCTCGGCCTCCCGCACCTGGCCCTCCCTGCGCTGAGGAACAGAATCCCCGCCTTCCCCTTCATGGCACGTCTCGGCCACTCCCCTTCTCTCTTCCCTAATAAATGCCTCTGGTGGATGTGATCGTGGTAAGCTCACCATCTGAGTGCCTCCTTTGTTGTCCTTTCCTACAAAGCTGGTGACTCCTGGAGCTGGCCTCCTGCTGCCCCCTTCCTTTCTTGGCCCTCTCCCTGGCCACCGTGAGGCTGTGGACTGTGGGGGCTTCTCCACCATCCAGTTCCCCTCCGGGGAAATGGCCCCAGTGGAGGGGGAGGCTGGCGTGCAGGGACATGGCGGTGCGTGGAACTCAGCATCTTGAACCATTGCTTGCCGATGAACCAGCCGGTGTTTTGTCCTTTCTTTCAGGTTCAAGGAACACTGACCATGTGAGTCCCATGGAAGGAGTCTGGGCCCATCCTCCACAAACTGTCTTTCAAGGAAAAGTTCAAATAAAGGATCCTGTGTTGAAAAGAATGATTTACCCTTGCCTTTTGCACATGCACCTGGAAAGACACAAAAGCCAACTTGAGAATTCCTGGTACTATTTAGAACAAGATGTGGGGCTCAGGACAGCAGTGAGTAAAACCCATGGAAACTGCCGCCCGACTGCCTTAACTGACCCTCCAGCCACGGGCCCCGCGGGCATGTCTGTCCAGCCCTCAAAAGATTGTGGCACAACACAGGATGACGCGTGGCACCTAGGCGGTCTCTGTCTCTCTCAGGTACTTCAGCAACAGAATGTTACAGGGTGTGCACTGTGCTGGCAGGAGCTCTGGTAACAGCATGCTGTCGTGTCCAGAGAACCTGAATGTGCTGTGTGGGAAAACAGGACACTGGAGCGCACAAGAAAAGTGCCAGCCAGCAAAGAGCCAGACTCTACATGACATCAGAAAGCCCAGCAACTGGGTCAGAAACCAAGACCAAACTTAGACCCCTCACATCACCCAGAGCTTTTTCCAGCACTTTCCATTTCTGTACTGACCTGACAACTGTCATTGTTGAGAAGTGAACAGTGACGAAGCAATAAACCTGCCAACGGGAGGACGGCAACCAGAATGCCAGCCCCAGAGCACCCTAATCGCTGGCATTCAAACCCCGGGAGCTCCTGCTGCCGTCAGGGCTGCAGCAGGGGCCTGGAAGGGGGCTTTGCAGTTGGTGCTGGGAGGAGCGGGTCTCCAGCCTAGCAACTTGATTCACCCATGACACACACAAACACCTGGGACTGATTTTAGGCACGTAGCAACAGAGCAGGTTATTTATTTAGAGTGTGTAATGTGTTATATGGCATTTAAGAAACATAAATGGCTTCTGTTATTTATTAAGACAAACTCCAATTGTTCTTTTGCCATTTGTTTTCTCAGTTTTGTCTAGCAAAATACTTATCTGCCCTTTGAAATAAAATGTTTTTTTAAAAAAATACTCAAGAGAATGTCGATTATTTCTGCTCACGTTCCCATTACACTAATAAGAAAACTTCCAAATAGTTTCCATGTTTTTGGTTTTCTCAGGATTTNAAAATGTTTTTTTAAAAAAATACTCAAGAGAATGTCGATTATTTCTGCTCACGTTCCCATTAACACTAATAAGAAAACTTCCAAATAGTTTCCATGTTTTTGGTTTTCTCAGGATTGTACTCATTCAGTGGTCTTGCGGCTAGAAGTTGAGGCTGTTTCCAACAGAAAAGCTGCCTCTCAGCTGGGGAGCAGGCCCCTCCTCTGCACAGAAGGCCAAGCCCAGGCTCCAGCAAACAGCCTTCTGGGTGTTTTGTAAATCATGCAATTTAAAGAACATCCCAAGATTTGTTCCTGTCTGTGGAATGTTACACATGGATGGGATGGGACTGCACTTGGGAACTGCACAGTGGGGCTCAGGCTTTCAAACCATCTTAGGAAGAGAGACCATCCAAGTTTGCGTGATGTGTGTTTTTCTCAGGTCACAGTCGCAGGGCGACTCTCAAGGGGCTCCTGCCCTGGGCTCTGCAGAGAAGTCCAGACAGGAGGAGACCTGTCTAAGGGACTTCTGAGTGGCGGCTGTTCACCAGATCAGCTTCCTTTTTAAAAAAAAAAAATAAGTTTTTTACACATATAAATTTCTGCCACTAAAAATGAAATTTTCATAAATGCTAAATGGATTATATACTGCTATAAGTTTCCTACAAATGCATTTCACTCAGCTCCCGTCGTTCCTTTCTATCTCCTGTTCTTTCTGTGTTTCCTCTTGTGCCTGTGGCCTCATTCTGTGGGGGCCTCTTTTTTCCCTTCCCTACCATACCTGTCTTCAAGCACTGCCCAGCCCCCAGTGACCCCAGTATCACAGCGGCTGAGCTGCCGCACCCCTGCTGTCCCCAAAGATGGGCACCAGTCCCACTACTCACCACACAGCGCCTCTTCCAGGTGTCCAGTTTTGATATTAAATTGTGTAAACAAAGGGAGGGATGAGATAGATACAAATGTGTCATTTGGTGTGCACAGAGGATTTTTTAAATATATATATAAAACTGCTCCTGCCTCTGCAGAACTGTCCTCCCTGAGGTGTTGTCTAGTCAGAAGCCCAGGGATGGTGGTCCTAAGTAGACCCTCCCCAACCCAGACCCACCATCTGTTGTTCAACAGCAGGAGCTTCAAGTGGCTATTGCTGTTTTTACCCAACTCGACAAACTGAAGTGTTAGAAGAAAAGCTTACACAGCCCACAGAGGAAGAGCAGATCCATATTCCTGAACCTTCTGAGCAAAATCCAATTAATGCCCACTGACATGGATAGTTCATCCTTTTTGAAAATGAATACACACGGCTATTTTTTAAAGCAGTTTAAACACATTCTCGGCTCATGAATGGAAGATTTCATCATGACTTAAGGGAATAAGTATGATTTCAACATCAAAATGTATCTTCATTTCATTTGAATTTCAGCTGAGGTCATTTCCATCAGCAAAGAGCCAGCTATGATGCACACACACTTGCACACGGATGGCAATGCCACTCTGCCTGTCACGAATGTGTATGTCACTAAGATTTTTCTATCGAGGTTGGCAAAAAATGCCCAGATGATGGAAATGCAAGCTTGTGACAGGGTCACAAAGGAAGGAAAAGCCAATCCTGGGGCCTTGCCTTAGTAAAGACCACCCTCAGAGTCCCCAGGCCTCCTGGGGATGCAAAGGTGCCTGGAGAGCTTATGTCCCTGGAAGGGACAATCCTCCAATCGTCAGCTCGTAAAACCCAATAGAAAGAAATCGCTTGAAAAAATGGACTGAAAAAAACACAAGCCCTAATTTGTTGTTGTTAGATTTAACAGACATAAAACCAACTCTGCCAAATTGCTGTAGACGTTTATAAATGCCACTCCAGTCTCTGCTTGTCTTACCGAGGGCTGGGCAGCCACCATGCAGCCACCAAGGCCATGGTGCAAGCAGGTGAGGAGAGTGCGGGGAGAGGTGGCCCTGTGGCCTGGCGCACCTGTGCGGGGTTCGAGGCTGGCAGGAATGTGCTGTGTCCCTGGGCAGGCTGACCTCTGGACATGGCCTCCAAACTGTCAGGCTTCTGTTAGTGCAGCCGGGCCCAGCGCCAGGTGATGAGGTGGGACCACTGTTCAAAAAACAGAAAAAAGTGGTTGAATATAAAGGCACTAAAACATAAACTTTTTTCCTTTCCTCAGTTCTCTTTCTCTGCCCGTTGTGGTATTTTACCTGCTGTTCAATGCACACTCCCTCGGGCCCAGTGACAACCAAGTGTGGCCACTCACAGGTGCCTGTGCTCTGACCTAGGGTGGGGTGCCAGGGTTGAGCCAGCAGCAGCAGTGCCCCCTGGGGAGGCTCAGGGAGCTGGGATTCCGCAGGAACCAAGGTTCCAGTGCCCCAGGGCTGGCTCCGTCATCCCCGGCTTCCCTTACGAACCACAGCTGCAAGGTTCAGAATTTCCCCTTGGGGACTGCAGAGGACGAAACCCCGAGCGTGGGCCCTTCTGAGCACAGGCCCCGGTCCTGCCGCCAGAGAAATGATGCTCCATCCAGGTTTCAAATGGGAACTGAGGACCAGGTCGAGACCTGCAGGGCCAGAGTTGGAAGTATGGGTGGGCTCATTGGTGTCCCCCGGGGGGGCCCGTCACTCGGTGTGGGCTTCTGTGTCCCATGCGCTCCCGCATGCCTGCCACTACAGAACAGACGCGCGCTGTCTGACTCGAGCCACTCTCCTCCTCAAAGTTGTTTCTCCCCAGTCCGCTTGTCTCCTTGTCACTGGAGGCTGTACACCCTCATGCCCGCTGTAAGGAAGCTCTGGACAAGGGTGCCCACGCTGGCCTGTGCGGTCATTGCGGAAGGATGCTAACCAATGCCAAGCTGCTTTACCAGGTCCCAGTGGGAATGGGATTTCTGGGAAAGCTTCATTGAAAACCTTCAGTGGGGAGTACATTCCAGACCAGGAACCAGACAACATCACACCTAAAACAAAACATGAAACCCGAAGACCAGACATAATATTAGCAGGTCCACAGCCCCCTGTAAGTGATTCCATGATGGGGCGAAGTCATCACATTTAAGACTCATTGCCAAGCTGGCCCAGCACCTTGTGAGCTGTCATCCAAGGATGTCTGAAAGACACAGTACTGAGCCCATCACTCCTCCCGAAGCCAGCTCTTGTTGCTGACCCAGTCTCAAGGGGGCCTTGTGAGCTCCAGAGGTCAGGGGGGATGGAAGGGGCAGGGGCCACCCGAGCAGCCATCATGGGGACATGTCTCCACCACATCTCCTGGGAGTGGGGGCTTTAAGTCCAGCTGCTGAAGACAGGCAGCTGTTTTTGGTCCCCAACTAGGACACTAGGTCCTGACCCTCCACAGAGAGCCTCATTACTGCTGAGCCACCTGCAGGCCAGGCTGAAGCATTGTCCCTGGACAGCAGGCGTGCCACAGTGGGCAGAGCAGGCCACGTCCTGCATGGCTGAGAAGACCCACAGAGGGTGGGGAAGGTGGCAGGGCACCATCCTCAGACAGCATGGAGGGGTGTGGCACCTCAATGCTGGAGATTCTGGGGGAGGAAAAGGAAGAAAGGAA